ATTATTCACCGGCCTGTGGGGGGCCCTTGATGGTCGCTCCGTCCAGACACTCCTGCGCGGTGCGCCACCATTGTTTGCAACTGTTTACTCCTGTTCCCTGCCGGTATCTGGAAGTCAGGCGGTGAGGTTCCCCTGGAAGGGACTTCCCGGTGCTCTGTGGCGGGGTCCACCTGAGGGGGTTTTGCCAATCGGTTGGGCAGTTTCACCTGCCGGTTGGGGGCCCTTGATGGTCGCCCCCTCCTAACCAATTATGCGGGGTGCACCACTATTGTTTGCAACTGTTTACTCCTGTTCCCTGCCGGTATCTGGAAGTCAGGCGGTGAGGTTCCCCTGGAAGGGACTTCCCGGTGCTCTGTGGCGGGGTCCACCTGAGGGGGTTTTGCCAATCGGTTGGGCAGTTTCACCTGCCGGTTGGGGGCCCTTGATGGTCGCCCCCTCCTAACCAATTATGCGGGGTGCACCACTATTGTTTGCTAACGTTTATACATGCTCCTTGCCTGTATCGGGGTGTCAAGCGAGGAGGACCCTGGGTTCGTACAACCGGGCCCAAAGGAAAGGTTTAGGGCACTTCATTTTATTCAGGGACCGGGCTGGCCGACATGCTCCGACATGGACAGGGATCCCACCCTGGCCCCACTGGGCTTCTGGCGGCATTTTCAACTTACCCACTTCCTCACTACTCTTCCTACTCTTGACACGCTCTCTCACAACTTTCGAGCAGGAGTGCACCTCCCTGGGACACTTACCCAGAGCCCTCTCGCTGTGCTATCAGTTGCTCCTAGCCCCGGACTGTGATCTTCCTTTGCCATTTATGGCAGCATGGGAGAGGGATCTGGGACTTACCTTTTCTCCCAATGACACCTCAAAAATCTTGCAGCTATCCCTGAAGTCCTCTATAAGCAATCGATATCAGGAATCAGGGTACAAAATACTTACCCGCTGGTACTGTACTCCCAGTAGGTTGCACAAGATATTTCCTGACTCCAGTGACTGCTGCTGGAGATGCGGCTCCTCCCCTGCGGGCATGTTCCACATTTTCTGGTCCTGTCCATCGCTTCAAGAGTTTTGGTCCAAAGTCCACTCCATCACTCAGAGGTTCTCGATCTCCGACATCCCCAAGGTCCCCTCATTTTATCTACTTCACCTTGCCGCTGGCTCTCTACGGAGCTACAAACGGTCCTTGGTGATCCACCTTGTTAATGCGGCTAGAGCATGTATCCTGGCCTTGTGGAAACAGGTCTCTCCTCCCACCGTAAAGCTGTGGCTCAGCAGGATCAGTGACATCAGGCAGATGGAGGACCTAACCAGCTCCCTAAAGGGAACGGGGACTCGATTTCGCTATACTTGGTTTGAGTGGGACGAATTCTCGTCCTCCCCGGAATACTTGAGCCTCCTGAACTGAGACTGCAGAGGTGCCCTACTCTCTTTCTCCCTTCTCTCCCTTTTTCTCCTAACTCTTCCTGTTCCTTCTTAGCACCTGGATCTATCCCATCCCCTCCCTCCCTAGAACTCTCCCATCTGTCTTCCCTTTTGTCCCCTAGAAAACTGGTGATTGGCACAGCTGGCCACACCGATCTCCCCACTTGAATTTAGATATGTGATTGTACGTTTACAAACCGCAATGACGTCTCCTTGTTTATATGGCACTGAGGCAGGGAGGTCCACCGATGACAGATTAATAGGCTCTCGTCTCCGTGTTGGAGATACAGTAATACCTTGGTTTACGAGCATAATTCGTTCCGGAAGCATGCTTGTAATCCAAAGCGCTTGTATATCAAAGCGAATTTCCCCATAGGAAATAATGGAAATTCAGATGATTCGTTCCACATCCCAAAAATATTCATATAAAATGATTACAATACTGTACTGTAATATAATAACGTATAAAATATAAAGAAAAATAAACCAATTACCGGTACCTTTTGTGGCCGGTGTGAGAGGGACAAGAGGGAGGAGGATTATTGCGTAGGACGACTTTCACTATCACTAACGGAATCACTGCTATCTCTTGACTCAATGGAATCTTTTTCATTTCGTGAAACCTTAACAAGGAATCTATCCAATGTGACATTGCGTTGTCGTTAAACAGACTCATCGCTCGCACTGCTACAGCCTTATTCAGGTGGTGCTTTTCTACAAAATTTTGCTCTTCTTGCAAGACATTTGCTTGTATATCAAAGCAAAATTTTTCAGAAATGTTTGCTTGTCTTGCAAAACGCTCTCAAACCAAGTTACTTGTAAACCAAGGTATTACTGTATATCTAATAGATGTATGTTTGATTTATGTCAGAACCCCCATGGGGGCGGTGGCCCTGACGGATGCCATTTTGATGATTGTATGTAACAATTTATCCTCTGACTTTTATATGTTTGACTGTATCTCATAAGTGCTGTTGTATAAATAAAGAATTTTAAAAAAATCTACGTGCTCCTTCAGTGTCACCTACAATTCTAACTCCTCAGCGCTATATAAATACTATGTAATAATAATAATAATAATAATGCTATCTACTATGTCAGGCTGACCATTCTTCTTACATGGAAACTCTCCGACTAGAATTCTATGTGGAAAGCTGCTACCAATAAAGCGCTACCCCTACACAAACTCACCTATCTAGGCTGTAATTGCCCCAATAAATGTTAACAAATGTGGGCAGCCTGGACTGAAGCACATTCACTCACAGTGTAGGATACCTTCTGAACTTCTGCTCTCATTTACTGAAATCTATTAGTTTTTTTTAGCCTACAAATATGCATAGACGATACTTACTCTGTAAAGGCATCTACAATACGGAGTTGCCCCATCCACCAATGGTATATGATTATGTAGTTTATACCTTTATGCAACAAATGGTCTCCACTAGACCACTGACGATATACTGTGGTATCTGGCAACAAGCCATCAGGAGCATATCCTTTAAGTCCTGAAAGTTGTAAGGTGAGGCTTCCATGGATCGGACTTGTTTTTCCAGAACATCCCACAGATGCTCAATTCGATTGAGATTTGGAGGCCAAGTCAACACCTCAAACCCACTGTGTTCCATAAACCATTTGTAAACCATTTTGGCAGTGTTGCAGAGTGGCTTATCCTGCTAAGGAGGCCACTGCAATCAGAGAAATACCATTTCCATGAAAGAGTGTACTTGGTCAGCAACAATGTTCAGGTAGGTGGTACATGTCAAAGTAACATCCTCATGAATGGCAGGACGTAAGTATTCCCAGCACACTGCCTCCACCGGGTTGCCTTCTTGCCATAGTGCATCCTGGTGCCATCTCTTTCCAAGGTAAGCAACACACATGCACTCTGCCATCCACATGATGTAAGAGAACATGTGATTCATCGAAACAGGCCACATTCTTCCATTGCTGTGTGGTCCAGTTCTGATGTTCATGTGCCCGTTGTAGACACTTTTTGCAGTGGACACGGGTCAGCATGGGCACCCTGACCAGTCTGCGACTACTTAGCCCCTTATGCAACAAACTGTGCTGTTCTATGTGTTCAGATACTTGTTCTATTGGAACCAGCATTACCTTTTTCAGCAATCTGAGCTACAGTAGTTCTTCTATTGAATCGTACTACACAGGCCAGCCTTCGCTCCTCACGTCAATCAATGAGCTTTGACCTCCCATGTTTTCCTTCCTTGGACTCCTTTTGGCAGGTCCTGACCATTTCAGACTGGGAACAACCAATAAGAGCTGCAGTTTTGAAGTTGTTCTTACCCAGTCGTCTAGCTATCACAATTAGGCCCTTGTCAAAGTCACTATTCCTGCTTCCAACACAGCACCTTCAAGGACAAAATGTTAATTTGCTGCCTAATGTATCCTATTTGCTTGCTTGCCATTGTAACAAGATAATCAATCTTATTCACTTCACCTGTCTGTGTTCATAATGTTATGGCTGATCGGTGTACGAGTGGTGAATTTAACCCTGTTAAAAAAAAAAAAAAGGGAGAAGAAGAAGAGCTCCGAGAAGTGTTTTAAAGCTACACTTCATTGGTGTCCTTCCCTAAAAGCCCTGCTTTAAAAACCCAAAAAGGTGGGGAATCACAGAGATTACACTGGGGCTAACTACACAAGTCAAATACCTTAGAGCTCACTAGCAGACATTGTTTGCACACTCCATAGAAAATAAAATGGGAGAAAACTTTAGATGAGATTAAAGCTCATCACACAAATTACAATAAGTATTTACAATCTTTGTACAATGTCCTTTAGATTTGCCAACCAAAACTATATGATAGTTTATCTTAAGTATCCAATCTGTATTCAATAAAGCAGGTCCTTGCACTACTACAAAACTGCAGGCAGATCTAAAAGAGGATTGCACAGAGAGAGTGTCAAGTGTGTGGTAAGCTTAAGATTTCTTTCCTATTTCTCCCATTTCTACAAACAAGAGGGCATTAGAGAAGAAAATCTCAGGGGAAAAATGACAAAAATAAGGAAGCAACTTATATTGGCAAAAATGAGTTTGTTTATAGTGCATTTATCACTAAAAAGGTGGTGTTTCACTTTTGAGTTAAAAAAAAACTGGAAAAGTACCTGTGGAGGAGCAGAAGCTTCTGCCTGCTCCTGTTCCTGATAATACTGTGAGGCTCTCCTGTCCTCTTCCTCCTGAAGTTTTTTGGCCAGCTCCAGGTCACTGATGCCTTCTGGTATTTGCTCCCAGTCGATATCTTGGTTCTGCTGTTCCTGTTGTAGTGATAGTGCCATCAGATAATCCTAGGAAAGACACAGCCTGTGAGAACTCCTGCAAGAAACATCCAAAGGTAATGAGCCTGTTTGACAACCATCCGTGACTTCTCCACACTAAGCTGTTCTACATGCATGTCAATAATGCTATTGTGTACAAAAAGCAGTGGGTTTCCCTATACCATATGAAAAACTGGGCTTTGTACTCCCTTTAAATTCTTTTCTTATAGAGGGAAACAAAAAGCAATGACCAGCCTGATAGATGTCTACCCGCTCCCAGCATGCCTCAGTTTTATAACAAATCAGTGATGTCATTGGCCAAAACTGGACCTGACAACACTGGCTTTACAACTCCCCTTTATTTACATGTCATTCAGTGATAATCTCCCTTTGTTCGTTTTTTCTTTTGGCAGTTGGTGGTGTCATTCACAGTGAATGAGGATTTGCATCTCTGGAAGACGTGATTGGTGATGGATGTGCAACATTTACTTTACATTTAATGAAGATGTACTGCATAGGTTTGTTTTTGCCCAGACATACAGTTTACTGCAATTGTCTGCCGATTCCTGAGAGCAGTGTATTTAGGTGTCCCTCAGAAACCACTGCATTCTATGGTGATGTTGAGCATCAACACACACTAACCCTAAGTACCCACTCACAACTAGAAGTTTTATAGCTGAAAGCAATGAAACGCTAAACACAAGGAATCCCATTGTTTTCTATGGCCCCTGTTCAAACCTGAGCGTTCAGTCACTTGTACCAGAACACTTGTCACTAGAAAAGGAACATGAACTACTTTTCTGCAAATTTCTGTGCTTTTTGCCCCATAAACCTCAATGGAAATGCCTGTAAACGTGCAGTGTTTATGCACATTTTGTGCGCATTTTCTCACAAGCACAATCTACCAGCTGAACAAGCGTGTAAAAACGCGTTTTAACCCCTTCATGGCTGAGCTTGTTTTTCGTTTCTGTTCGTAAATGACTGACGCACTTTTGACATTTTTGCTGTGTGAATTTTTGTTTTGTTTTGTTGCTGGAGTGGGGCTGTCAGTATGTTAGCTGCAGTGCAGTGCGTTTTTGATGCATTTTTGACACGTTTTGCGTTTCCAGTCTGTTTCCTGACCGTACAAAATGTGACATGCAGTATATTTTTGTCGTAACGGACTGCGCACGTGAGAACTGTAGCTCATAAAACACATAGGGATACATTGGGATGCATTTTTAGTGCAGGAGCGTACGGATCAGGTCAGCACAGAAAACGGACGTCGTGTGAACAGGCCCTTAGGGTGTCTCACCAGTCAGCATAACCGGACTAAAGCCTTGCAATTTATGTTAAAAAAATTTGGGGACAGATGGAGCTTTCTTTTGGAGGTATATAACCACTTCGGGGGTGGGGGTGGGTTATTTTTTTTTTACTATATAAAGAAAAAAGTACCGTAAATGTAAAAAACAAAAACAAAGTTTCCATACGTTATGTTATAAAACATTTATTCTTACCCATATTTTTGGTAAAACATAAAAGACGGGGGCACGTCGGGTAAATAGAAACCAAACATGTCAAGCCTTAAAATTGCGTGCGCCCACTAAAATCGCAAAAAAAACGCCCATAGGCGACACTTAAAGCGCTTTTACTGCTTATCAGTTTAGTGTTATCAGTGATTAATGGCCCTAAAATTATTGCTCTCACTCCAACGTTTGCGGCGATATGTAACATGTGCGGCACAATAGGCGCAATCGTCGTTTTCGCACGTAGGCTCACCCGCACCATATCTGCCCGAGTATGTGGGGGGCACAGACTTTTATTTATTTATTTTAGGGCTGCAACAACTAATCGACATAATCGATTATAATCGATTATTATGTTTTCATTTTTTTATGCTTCTTTATTGATTTATTTTTATGATTCTTTAATTTTTGCATTACTTTTTTTGACACACAACTTTATTGCTATTACATGGCCCCCCATGTGATAGCCAATTTACATGACAGGTCCTCTTTATGGAGACATCAGGGTTCTCAAAGACTAATGTCACCTAGGCAAAGACTAATGTCACTAATGTCACCTAGGGACCCCCAGAGAAGCTGATGAAGCCGAGATCGGCTTCATCAGCTTCTGTAGCTGGAAAATGACACTGAATGCAGGAAGTGATGCAACATACATCACTTCCTGCATTTGGGGACTGAGAGAAGATCAAAGGGAGATCGTATTCTGATCTCCCTTTGATCTCCTGCCACAGAGCCGTGCCGGTCCCGGCCGCATCGGGACCGGCAGTGGCAGCTGCTAATACAAACGAACGAGTGTCTCTCGAGACGCCCAATCGCTTGAATGTAAAGCTCCCGGCCGGCCGGCCCTGGCTATATAGATCACATATGTGTACCCAATGCCTCACTTAGGACAAATAAAATATTTAAAAAGGGAGTAAAAACTTAAAGAAAACACTTTTTCCCCAGTTTTGATTTGTAGTATTTTTTACAAAAACAGCACAGCTAAAAAAGGCATCCATTAATGAATGGTAACCGCTCATTCTCAGAGATTACCACCATTGTAGAGCAGCAAATAACTCATCACGTACAGTGTACGTAATGAGTCATTTGGGCACTTCGTGGCGGGACGTACAGTGTACGTCTCCCGTCACGAAGGGGTTAAAACACCTCAAAACACTTGGCAAACCTGCATCGGTGCACGTAAAAACAGGCAAATACGCTAGACAAAAAACGTGAAAAACATGCAAAAACACTGTCGCCTAGGTGTGGCTTCAATTATCCATGATGTGACTAGGGCTGCCACCAGCTAATCTATTAATCAGTAAGAACCGATTATGAGAATAGTTGTCAACTATTCTCATTATCGAATGATTGGTTGGATTACCTAGCTCTGTCCACCACGCTGAGAGGAGGGCACAGCAAGCAGTGGGAGGGTGCAATAGTCAGCCTGCTATTGCACTTTGAAATGGCCAATAGCAGGCTAGCTATTGCACCAGTCCACTACCTGCAGTATTTACATTTAGCTGCCGTCTGTGGAATCTTGCCACTATCAGCTGTCATTCCCTGGCTGAAGCGATTCAAGCGCCATGTGCATACAACACAATTATAAAAAAATTAAAAATTATGAAAATGTGGGGGAAAAAAAGGTCATTTTCAGTTTCGGCCTGACAAATTCTGCTGCTGGAGGTGCGCTTGCAGTGCCATTAATTTCAATGGCACCCCAAACGCGCCTCCCACCCACAGTGTGATCGCCCACACTGGAATGCACGGTACCGCAATGCCGTGTGATTGCACAAAATTGTGCATGCCGTTTTATTTTGAAGTAAACTTTGTTTGTAACACTACATTTGTGTATTTGATTTTAAATTAATCGAAAAAATAATTGCCCAATTAATCAATCATAAAAATAACCATTGATTGCAGCCCTAGATGTGAAACTTCAGATACATCCCATCCCTAAAATCCCAGCATTTCTGTACGAAGCAATTGCTATCTATTAGTATACTGTCAGAGTATGTTGTTTAATTACAAAATGAAAGATAGGCAGCATGTAAGTGCTCATTACACTCACAGCACACAGTGAACATGAGGTATCAATTCATGTCTATGGCAGAGGGTACAAGAGTTAAACAATATTCCTAGCAGCTGAATAAAGTGTTATTACCAGCCAAACTACTTTAAAAGAGAACTAAGGGCCAACCTTTTTTTGGCCATAGTTCTCTTTAGGATCACAGGAGGACCTATTCTATGTCCTCCTGTGACCCAAAACTCATTCTATAGATGCCGACACCGCAGAGCCTCGCTGCAGCCAGGACAGATCCTGACAATACTGTCATGATCCACCCCACCACCTGATTGACAGCTGCCTCTGTCTCTCCAGCCACTTGCTGTCTGGAGCAATTTTTTAATAGTTGCACACACATGATAAAATCTGAATCTTTCGCTAGAAAACAGTTTAAAACCCTCAAGCAATTATATATTTTCTGAAAGCAGAGGCCCTGTAGAACAAAAAAAATGCTAGTTGCAATTTTTGATGTTGCACGGTATTTTCGCATGTTTATCAAACCAGTATTTTTAGGATAAAATACACTAAAATTTAATTTAGTGCACACAAACAAAATGTAATACCCACTTTTTTGGTAAATTATAAAAGATGGTGTCACGTTGGGTAAATAGATACCAAACATGTCAAGTCTTAAAACTGTGTGCGCCCCTGAAACTGCAAAAAAGAACTACAATACCCTAATTTTCCCATAGGCAATGTTTTAAAAGCTTTTACCGCTCATCAGTTTATTATCAGTGACTGATGGCCCTAGAGTCATTGCTCTCACTCCGATGTTCGCAGCAATATGTTGGCTGTGTGGCATATGTTGCGCAATTTTATTTTTTTGCACATAGGCACAACCGACGCGTGTTTGCGTTTGAATGTGCGTATACGTGGTGGCTAACAAGCAAACTAATACCAAATAAGATGTGACAGGTCCTCTTTATGGAGACATCAGGGGTCTGTCACCTAAGGACCCCAAAGAATGTGAAGAAGTAGTAATCTGCTTTTTAAAAAGACCACCCTTCTGAAGTGGCTAGAGCTGGAACCAGCTGTGCCTGTCAGTCCCTCAAGTCAGTGGTAGAGGAACGGAGAGGGGGGGGGATCGCTGCGGAGAGTGCTGACGGACGGTCACCGCTCTCTGCAGGGAGAATATCGGGAACTCAGCAATCAGCGGTATGTGTTCGCTCACTTCCGGATCAATAGAGCCGACATGTGACAGCTTCAGTGATGCTCCCCTAATTATGGGGAATTTCACTCACCCTATAATTCTCCTTTAAATGAATTTGATAGTTAAGCTGAACACACATAGCCACTCATTCAGCAACAAAGTGATGTTAAGTTTCACGACCGTTTCAAATATTGTATCTAAATACATAAGCATATTATATCCGTAAACCCTAATAATGAACTTTTCTTCTTTCGTCCCGTCTGTATTATTTGGAAACAGGTGGGAATTTATCACTGCTTCAAGCAATTATATCACCGTAAGGTGGTCAGATCCAGGAATGATGCCACATGACCATCAATGCAGGGGTCAGCAGTGTGTTCTGTGGCTGTGTGGCTTCGTGAAAGGATTGCTACTTTTTGTAACATAGTTTTCCCACTTCTGTACCCAACTTCTTTAGATATGTAAACCTTATAATTATTTACTGTGTGTGCTATAACTAGCACCAATATCAGAAGGCTTAAACTGAATCTGCATACACAACTGTGGCTTGGTGTAGTTATATTGGTTTCATTGCAGTCTCTGCTGTCACCAAGACAGAAAGTGATGGAAAATAAAATTTTTTACCACAATAGCAAGAGAGGGGGAAATCCTCCAATAAAGTCACTTGTTTCCAGTGCCAATTGTCTAAATGGGAAATTCCCCTCTTTTGGGAGATTGCCTTGCACTTCCTGTTGTGTCTCTGGGACCCAAAGGGTAAAGAAATCTTCCCAATGGAACACAGACATGAAAAATTATCTGGCAGGGTATAAACCTACCGCCAACTCTAGTCAAAAAATTGTGGGGCTATACATACACTTTAACCCCTTCATTATAGCCCTCATCCACCATTTTATCTCCCACTTTTTCTGAAACCTGTTTACATACACTTCAGTATCTTCAAATAATGGCAGAATATCAAAGACAAAATAGATGGACATGCATAAAAAGAACAACCAAAGTATATTACCAATGGCTCAAACAAAGCAGCTATTAATTCCATATATCAAGAATGCTTTCTACATTAATAAGACATATGAGGTAAAAACCAACTGCTGTACTTTTCAAAGCTTTAAAACTTCAGCTCAAAGCTGAAAATATGACAACAAGTAATTATAGGGTGCCTAAGCCATCAGCAGTTGTCACAGAACTGATAAATAATGTATTAAAGTCTCATAAACTCTGCTGCAAGACATGGCAGTGATATGACAACAGTACTCAATCACTGCTCACATCAGTAGGGTACCCATGCTAATGGCAAAAATCAAATAGAATTTTCTACTTGATTGTGGAAATAAAAACATAATAAAGAGCCCTGTTGAGATTCTGTTAAAACTCTTTGATTAAATAGGAAAACGCTGCCTGAGATTGAACACCTGTCGAGGGCCCCGTAGCTATGTTTTATGAGTTTTTATTTAATTTTAACCTCTTCCTTGGTTTAGAAAATGATATAGATGACCCAAGAGAGAGGGTGGATAAATACAAATGGGTCCTACCATACATCTCTGCTATGTCATACACGTATACCGTAATACAGGGGTGCCCATTAGGTAGATTGTGATCTAGCAGTAGCTCTCAAAGCTGATGCTGGTAGATCACGAAGGGTGTGAATGGCGACCCCTTTATTCCATTTTGGTATATTTATTTAGCTGTTCACACATAATTAGCTATTAGCCTGAGTCTGCTGAGCTAACCTCCCTGACACCTTTCTGGTGGATACTGGTGGTTGAAGTGCTATGTATTACATCAGGGAATATTAGTTTACACAGCCTGTTGCAAAATACAGCCAGGTGAGTCAGGAGAGAGAGCGAGGAGAGACAGACAGGAGAGAGAGCAAAGACAGCCAGGAGAGAGAGCAAGGAGAGACAGCCAGAGGAGAGAGCAAGGAGAGACAGCCAGGGGAGAGAGCAAGGAGAGACAGCCAGGAGAGAGAGCAAGGAGGGACAGCCAGAGGAGAGAGCAAGGAGAGACAGCCAGGGGAGAGAGAAAGGAGAGACAGCCAGGAGAGAGAGCAAGGAGAGACAGCCAGGAGAGAGCAAGGAGAGACAGCCAGGAGAGAGAGCAATGAGAGCCAGCCAGGAGAGAGAGAGAGAGAGCGAGGGAGCCATATTTCCTTACCAAATACCCAGACTCTGCATTTTGCATCTCAACACTGCACAACAGCTCTCCTTGGTGGTTCTTTCTTACAGTTCAAGCCCATGAGGCACATCCAACTCTGTGTCTGAGGAACACAATGCTTCAGATAACTCAGATCATATCCACAGACTAGGTGTAGTATTCGATGGGAGACAAAGTCTCAAACCCAACACCTATTGTGATCAGATCTTCATAAATGCCCCTGAGGAACATACAAGATTTGAACACCTTATCCTACAAAATCATCCTTCCATAATATGCCTGGATTACGGTCGTACCTTTCCATTGGTAAGATGCAATATTTAACATTTTTGCTTTTGAGTTTAGATACGCTTTAAAGGATCTGTCAGGAAATAAGTATGTGAGCTGCCATTGCCAACTTGTTTTAGAAAGACAGTACAGTGAGCCATTGACCAAGCACAAAAGATGATCAAAGCCAGGTAAGTATATACTTGTTTCAAGTCAGTGGCTCACTAAGTATTAAAAAATATTAAGGAAGGCAGCGCCAGAGTATACACCTTCAAAAACAAAATCAAAATCTCAGTTTCCCTAATTCTAATAAGATAGACTGTGGTTAAAACGTCTGCTCTTAGGAACTCATGGCCCGGTTCAATCAGGAAGGCATCGTCCCCGGGTTTATTTTAATCCAGGCTAAAAATTCTGCTTTTCTACACAGCAAATGGGAGTGGACAAGCACCCTCATTCCTCTGTAGATTAATCTAATCAGTACATATGGGTCATTAGGGATGCACCGATATATCGGCCGCCGAAACATATCGGCCGAAAATGGCACTTTTGACATAATGCCGAAAGAGCCATGTTTCGGCCGATACATCGACGCATTCCTGCTTTCTTTCCTCCGCGCTGGGTGCTGCTCTGTGTTCCAGCGGGGAGAAAAGAAAGTGACAGCCGGTCGAGCGCTGCAGGACGATTGCACTGTGAGCGGCCAGCGTCTCTCCTCCCACACCGCTCAGCCGCCTATCAAAGTCCGGCAGAGCGGTGTGGGGGCTGAGACAGCGCTGTCACAGGAGGCTGGGCTTTCCTCTCTACAGTGCTCGATCAGCCTCCTGTGACAGCGTGTCAGAGAGAAAAGCAAGGTACACACACTCAGTGATCAGTGATCGCTGATTGTGTGTACATAATTGAGGATATGGTATGTTAACTATATCCTCAATTATGAATGAATGGGAGTGATCTACATCACCCTCATTCATTCATAATTGTAGTTATAGTAAACAAACAAAGGTCATGCTTTGGGTCCTACAGGACTAAAACACATTCTTTCTGCAGGACAAATGAAAGCTCCATTCTGATTTATGACCAGCTGCAGCAAGTTTGTGATGCCTCAGAAAGATGCACACAGACAAGCCTTCTTTTAAAGTATTCTAGTTGTGGAACTTTATTCAAGGAGGATTATTCAATATAATAGTGTAAAGAGAAATGGTAATGGACAAAATGCTGTAATACCTACCAACCACATTCCAGTTTATTATATGCAGATCAGTAAAGGGTGAAATTTGGTTTGTTACTATAGTTTACACATTGCTTTATACATACGTACATCTTTTACACATATCTCTGTGACCTAGGCACAAATTTGCACAAAAGTGTTTTGAGCTTACTGCACCTTTGACTTACCTGATCAATTTGATCTTGCTGCCCTTGGTATACAGTCTCTGGATCGGATGGAGGTCTTAAGTGGAAATCTGAATCACAAAAGTTTCCATCTCCATCCACATTGTGTAAACTTTCCCAGACAATGTTTTCTTCTGTAAGAAATCCCTGGTCTGTGACAAGCACGTACAGCAGTTCCTAAAAATAAGCAACATTAGGTATATGATCAACAAAGAAAGTAATGTAAAAAATAGAAAATACTTGTCAGCCCTATTGGTGACTAACACAATCACTGGGAGGGAGCAAGGAATTATTGAAGTTTGCGGCTCCCAATGAAAATTTCCTAACAGCTCTTCAGTAAAAGGTTCTGTACACAATAAAAAAGATTCTTACAAGGCCATAAAATCAGCGCTGTGCTCCTTACTGCATAATTTCTCCCGATGTGTCTTACCTTCTGCACTGCCATCTTCTCTGTAATTGGCAGCCACTTCCTGTGATGTCATAACTTGTATACAAGTTGCAAAGCAAATTATGAAGGTATTTGGCTCTCAGGGAGACACAGCCTCCAAGTATGTGTAACAAAGATATCTCAGGAGGCTTAGGGCATGCAATACAAGAATACAGACTGAATGTCTCTCATTAACATACAATGCCTCTAAGTCTTTAACCCTTTGTTAAGATAGACAGTGTTCAAATCTAGTTTACCACTGATAATAAAATCTGCCAGCACAGAACAGACGGGGTTAACTAGAGTAAACATAACCTCCCACGGTCCCCTCCATAACATTACAAAGGAAGGGGGAGATGGGTGGGCGCTTGGATTTTTAAACAGGTATAAAGCACTTAAAAATGTTAGCAGCAATTTGTTTTCTTAACTTATGCTGTGTTAATGGGAACATGTAACAAATATGAAGCCGGCGTTATCCAAATTTTGCAGCAAGTGTGGAAATATACTTAAAACAAAAGTTTTGCCATCCTTTTTTTATAGAACCTCTTTACATTTTGTAAAGTTTGTCAGTAGGTCACACTGAGGTTTAACTACTCTACTGGAAACCACAGACATGTTTTCTGGAACTATAGTTAGTTCATGCATAGTGGTTTGTACATATTTTCTTTATTATGTTGGTGACCAAAATAAAAGTGGTAAACATTTTTATTTCCTTACGTCAGATAAATATGAAATATTGTATAGTGTCGTGGGAACCCTTTTTCATGTATTGCATGCTTATTTGAAAAACAACAACCTACAGTATATATTTAGATGAAATAATCTGCGCTCTTGGAAAGATAAGGCTAAAAAGTTAA